TCGTACCCCTTTGGTTCTCAATCGTAAAACCATGTGTAATGTTAATAACTACAGGTATTGTGGTCTGTGCAAACATGACTCCTTGTAAAAAGGTGTCAGTTTTGTTGCCAGATAGAAGGGTAAAAAACCAATGATCATATTTTTTACTGGCAAATGAGTTCCAATGGTGTAAATGCTTACCCCGAGCTCTCATACTCTGATGGTGCATTGTCTTTGAGTTGTGCGCCTTTTGGCGTCATCTGGTCCAACCCATGTGAGACTAGGCTCTAAGGAAAGCTGTCTCGGGTGTGGACCAATCAACTTCAAGGACAGTGCATACATTATCCGAGTTATGTTTTTTGTTTGCATTATGACTGCAGGTATTGTGGTCTATGCAAACATGACTCCTTGTAAAAAGGTGTCAGTTTTGTTGCCTAGATGGAAAGGTAAAAAAACAATTATCAACTACAAAGGGGTTTGATGAAACAAAGTAAGTTGTACTTACGTGCCCGTGTTTAATTTGTACTTTCGATGATTCACATCCTAACAAAAAAACTATCTGGCCCATGTCTCGCACACCCCCAGAAGAGGGGTCATCTCGCTGCGTTAGAGCACAGCACAGTTACAACGTTTGTCTATTCTGCTGTACCCTCGGCCGACAACATCGGCCCCTCCAGCAGCCTCCACAGCAGTCGTTTGATTCGTGCATTTGGACGGCAGCTCATCCGAGCGCAATCCAGGCTCAGAGCGTGCCTAGCCTCTGAGATGTGCCGAGATCGGGGGAGCAGCATTGTCGGGTGGTTTTGCAATTATAGGCGATGTTCAGACGATACAACGATCTATACAACAGCAACAACAACAACAAAACCCCAATTCAGCAGCTCCTGAAGAGCCTGCGTACATTCCAGTCCTTGAGTCGCCACCAGCAGCGTATTTTTTGCAATAATGTACTCGGGCTGAATGCCTACACCATATTTTTCCGGTGTAAACTATAAACTATGCACTCTTTGGTTCTTTCGGTAAAGAAAGAACCAAAGAGTAATTACTGCAGTCACGAAAGCTCCAAATTAAGATTGAACCACTTCTACGGGGAAGTTTCAAGTTTATCTTTTTCTCTCTCTCTCTGGGTTTTTTGTTTTCTCTCTCTCTGCCTGTGTATTTAGTGTACTTTTTCTGTCTCCACTCGTTTTTTGTCGTTCTTATGTTCTGCTCTGTCTGTGTGTCTCCGTTCCTCTTGTTTTATGTTTTGTCTCTCTTTGGAATTTTCACACTTAAATTCTAACTTAGCAATCTTTGAAATACGTAATCGACCAGGCTACGCGACGTGACTTTACCGAAAGAACCAAAGAGTAATTCCTGCAGTCACGAAAGCTCCAAATTAAGATAATAATTATGTTTTTATTTTACCAGGCAAGGCCCACTCGAAACGCGTGTTTCTAAATGTGGAGGGAAAAAACGGAAGGCCCGGAAAAAAAATTCACGCGACCACGGGGAGAGAGAGAGAAGGACACGAAAACTCCAAATATACAACAGGTGTCAGGGTTGGAATCCCACGACCTCCGATACACCAGGCGAGGGAGTTAACATCTCGCCATGATGAGTTGTCCCTCATTAACAGGACCCTGCGGGGTGGGCTGGTAGGAATAATACTTAGTACCGGTACAGAGATATCGACCGGGTATAGAGGAGTTAAAGAAAAAATTACTGTATTCTATTGTAACGTTAATTAAAAGTGTTTGTTTTGACAAGAAACGCTGTGAGATTTAAAGACTCGTAGTCTTTCATTTCCAACACCACCCTCAACACCACCCACGCACGCTGCTACACACGCACCCTGCAGCACCCACGCACGCTGCTGCACCCACGCACGCTGCTGCACTCACACACACGCTACCCTGCTACACCGACCCATCCTGCTGCACACACGCTACCCTGCTACACAGTCGCATCCAGCTGCACCCACGCACGCTGCTGCACGCACGCTGCTGCTGCACTCACACACTCGCACCCTGCTACACAGTCGCATCCTGCTGCACACACGCTACCCTGCTACACAGCCGCATCCTGCTGCACACACGCACGCTGCTGCACCCACGCACGCTGCTGTTGCACTCACACGCTACTCTGCTACACTGACCCATCCTGCTGCACGCACGCGCGCTGTAGCACACACGCATCCTGCTGCACCCACGCACGCTGCTGATGCACTCACACACACGATACTCTGCTACACTGTCGCATCCTGTTGCACCCACGCACGCTGCTGCACGCACGCACGCTGCTGCACCCACGCACGCTGCTGCTGCACTCACACACACGCTACCCTGCTGCACAGACCCATCCTGCTGCACACACGCTACCCTGCTGCACACACGCTACCCCGCTACACAGACGCATCCTGCTGCACACACGCACGCTGCTACACACGCACCCTGCCCCATCCACGCACGCTGCTGCACCCACGCACGCTGCTGCACTCACACACACGCTACCCTGCTGCACTCACGCTACCCTGCTACACCGCCGCACCCTGCTGCACCCACGCGCACGCTGCTGCTGCACTCACACACACGCTACACGCGCATCCAGCTGCACACACCCACGCACGCTGCTGCACACACGCGCACAAGTGCGGGGGAAGGAGGGGAGGGGGTTGCAGGCCGTGGTGGTTGCAGCGCCTTCGCTTGGGCGATGTGCAAAGCATTGCACCTCGCGGGGATGACGTCACCGCGGATTTCTCAGTCGCTGTTGGTGCGGCCCGACCGCGAATTTACACCGTGGGGGTGATGGTGGTGGGGTGGTGGTGGTGGGGGTGGTGGTGGGGGTGATGGTGGTGGCAGTGTGGGTGGTGGTGGGGGTGATGGTGGTGATAGTGGTAATGATGGTGGTGGGGGTGATGGTGGTGGTGATGGTGGTGGGAGTGGTGGTGGGTGATGGTGGTGGGGGTGGTGGGGGTGATGGTGGTGGTGGTGGGGGTGATGGTGGTGGGGGTGGTGGTAGGGGTGGTGATGGTGGTGGGAGTAGTGGTGGTGGGGTGGTGGTGGTGATGGTGGTGGGGGTTGTGCTGGTGCTGGGGGTGGTGGTGGTGGTGGGGGTGATGGTGGTGGGGGTGGTGGTAGTGGTGATGGTGGTGGGGGTGGTGCTGGTGGTGGGGGTGGTGGTGGTGGTGGGGGTGATGGTGGTGGTGGTGGGGGTGGTGGTGGTGGGGGTGGTGGTAGTGGTGGTAGTGGCGATGGTGGTGGGGGTGATGGTGGTGGTGATGGTGGTGGGGGTGATTGTGGTGGGGGTGATGGTGGCGGTGGGTGTGATGGTGGTGGGGGTGATGGTGGTGGGGGTGGTGGTGGTGGTGGGGGTGGTGGTGGTGGGGGTGGTGGTGGTGGTGGTGATGGTGGTGGGGATGGTGATGGTGGTGGGGGTGGTGATGGTGGTGGTGGGGTGATGATGATGGTGGTGGTGGGGGTGATGGTGGTAGTGGTGATGGTGGTGGTGGTGGGGGTGATGGTGGTGGGGGTGATGGTGGTGGGGGTGGTGGTAGTGGTGGTGGGGGTGATGGTGGTGGTGGTGATGGTGGTGGTGGTGGGGGTGGTGGGGGTGGTGGTGGTGGGGGTGATGGTGGTGATGATGGTGGTGGGGGTGGTGGTGGTGGGGGTGATGGTGGTGGGGGTGGTGGTAGTGGTGGTGGGGGTGATGGTGGTGATGGTGGGGGTGGTAGTGGTGATGGTGGTGGTGGGGGTGATGGTGGTGGTGGTGCTGGTGGTGGTGGTGGTGATGGTGGTGGGGGTGGTGGTGGTGGTGGTGGGTGATGGTGGTGGTGGGGGTGATGGTGGTGGGGGTGATGGTGGTGGGGGTGGTGGTGGGAATGATGGTGGTGGGGGGGGTGGTGGGGGTGATGGTGGTGGGGGTGGTGGTGGTGGGTGATAGTTGGTGGGGGTGATGGTGGGGGGGTGATGGTGGTGGTGGGGGTGATAGTGGTGGTGGTGATGATGGTGGTGGGGGTGATGGGGGTGATGATGATGGTGGTGGTGGTGGGTGATGGTGGTGGGGGTGATGGTGGGGGGGTGATGGTGGTGGTGGGGGTGATAGTGGTGGTGATGATGGTGGTGGGGGTGATGGGGGTGATGATGATGGTGGTGGTGGGGGTGATGATGATGGTGATGGGGGTGATGGTGGGGGTGGTGGTGGTGCCGGTGAGCCGGGCCGCGTCAAACACCGCTCACTCGGATCAGTCAATCGTGGGTCGCACAGATGGCGGTGAACGTTCTGACGGTGACGACGGCGGCGGTGGTGATGATGATGATCATCATAGGTGCTGCTCGCTAACGGCACTTGCCCCAGATGTGTCTGTTAAGGCTATACGGGGGACCTTTGTCTCTGTGGTGATGATGATGATGGTGGTGGGTGGTGAGGATGGGTAGAGTGGTCGCGGTTAGAGCGCCAGTCCGCTACGAAACCCGGCGAACCGAGTTCGATTCTCGCTCAACCGGCACCAGTGACGATTATATGAACCGGTCCTGGGCCTAAACCCTAGGTCGACTCAGCCTCAAATGAATACCTGGTGCGGTGTGTAAACAAAAAAAAATCGCCACTAGGGAGACAAAGGCGGCCGGGCGTGATGCTGGCCATCCACCCCCTCGTGTACCGTGCCAGCCTTCATAGGTGCTCGCTAACAGCACTTGTCCCAACAGTCTGGTACAGACTATAGGGGAGATCTTTGTCTTTGTTGTTGGTGATGATGATGGTGGTGGCGAGCCTATGAAGTTGGCGACTAATCATTGACACCAACTGTGAATCGGACGATCATTAAACGCACGCCACGACAGTTTAGACACATTTAGGCGCCCATACGCGTCCGCTTGCTCTGAATCTAACAGCATCTCACCGCGGGGCAGACTCCACGTGCCAAAATCCTGCAAACGGTGCCCCGCGCGCCGTGCGTTGGACGCACGGCGCGCACGAATCTTCAATTAATTCGCCGGCAATTCTAGGGCAACACGGGCAAGCGTGTGTGGCACGATGCTTACCTGTTGTAGGTCCACCGACTGTAGGCCAGATTGCGTCCGGCCCCAAGGCTGTCCATTTGCCCGATGAATGAATTCGCGACGAATTAAAAATTATAATTGGCTCTTCACGTATCGTTTCAATTTAAACAAGCAAAAATAATAGCTGTACCCGAAGGAATGAAGCGAACCATTTTGTGCACGGTCACAGATTGCACCCGCGTCCTTCTCGCGTACGAGGGCGCATTGTAAAGGACACGAAGCCGAGCGTCGTCTCACCCCCGGTAAAATAAATTTGGCCCCCGAATGAATTTCACGTAGCTGCACAATTGATGGACGGTACCATTATCTCGCGAGCAGAGCGGGTGACGGGGACCGCAGGAAAAAAAAGAACCACCGCTCCCCCCACCGCTTCCTACCATCCCTTGCTCCCCCCCCCTCTCCACGTTGGCTGAGGATCTTGTTGGTACAATCCGGCCAGCTTACCCCGTGCGTTCACAAAATAACGTGCGCGCTGTTATTTCAGGTGGGCACGTGGCACGCGTGCACGTGAACGTCCCAAATGGAGGGTTGGGAGTGTTCGCTTGTTGATCCGCATCATCCAACGAGGGGTCGTTCACACGGTTAACGCCATTGCATACATTTCACTTCACTGTATGGGTGAGCAATATTGGCAAATAAACATATTGGAGTGTAAAACATAATGATTTCTGATTATGTAGCGTCATTCATGCTAACTGCATCACACTATGCTGTAGATTAATTATGGGGGTCACGGTGGAAAGATGTGAACTACCTCGCCTGGTATACAGGAGATCGTAAGTTCAATTCCCGACCCTGACGACTGTATATTTGTAGTTAACATGTCTCTGTCTCTCCCCGTGGTCGCGTGGATTTTTCTCTGGGTCCTCCGGTCTTATCGTTCCACATTTAGAACACACGTTTACCGTATTTGGCTGCTTTACATTTCCACATGATGGACCACTTCGTTGAGCTATCATTTTTGGCGAGGTCGCTTCTGAATGAAAGAGCTCAATGGACCTTACCTGGTAAAAATTAACCCGTAAAAACAAAGTTTTTCACTATAAATCTTTTATATGCGTGGCGGCTAGAGTCCTCTCGTCCTCTGGCTTGAGATGGCTGCCACCTATGGGTCAGATGATTGCCTGCCACCATTAAGCAATTGGTAATTAAATATAAAAAAACATTTCCTAAAAAGTGTAAAGTTATGGAAATTGTTTTTCACGAAAATAAATTGTCACGCACAACGAGTCTGTGTGCAAAATGTCAGCTCGATTGGATCACGGGAAGTGGGTTAAAAAACGACCGAAATATTTGCACGGTCGTAAGCACGCAAGCACGCAAGCAAGCACGCTAGTGAACTTAATATAAAGGATTTAAAAACAAAATGAAACTGTAGTAATTTAAGCATTAGTATAACAACCAGACTTTTGGCCCTCCAGAGACGGGTGTATTGCAGTAAATCTGAAACTTGCAAGCAAAAATCAGACCGCGACGTGATATATTCATTGCATTAATTCGTGTGCAGTTTGTAAGGGCGCGGTGGCACAGTCCTATTTCATTTAAACGTTATAATCCCTTGTTCATCATGACGTCATTGCTACTTCTACGTCTCAACAGCGTCACGGAGATGGTGTGACGTGAGGGTTCTGCCTTTGTAGTGAGGGTTGTGAGTTGACGCCGAGGAGGGGGGAGGAGGCGCCTCGCCCCCCCCCCATGTTGAGTGACGTCAGCCGCTAATTATTATGAATGGAGGGGGGGGGGTGTGTCCATTTGGAGGACGTCACCTGTTCATGATTATTAATGAGGGGGGCTGTTCGATGTGGAGTAACGTCACCTGCTCATGATTATTAATGAGGGCGGGAGGTCCATGTGGAGGACGTCACCTGTTCATGATTATTAATGAGGGGGGCTGGTCAACATGTAGTGACGTCACGAGCGTTGCACACAGACACACTTGGCTCATGATAGTAGATAATAATAATGGAGGGGGGTGTCCATTTGGAGGACGTCACCTGCTCATGAATATTAATGAGGGAGGGGCTATTCAATGTAAAGTGACGTCACTTGCGCATGATTATTAATGAGGGGGGGGGGCTGGTCAATGTGGAGTGACGTCACAAGCGTTAAGGACAGATTTTCCTGGGTGATTATAGGAGGTGTAACTCTGCCTCCGCCTGCGAGTTGAGAAGCAAGCGGCACGATAGTTTGCTGCTAAGACCCCGGATGATGCCACGTTCCCACAAAGACAAAAGATCCCCCGCATGGTCTGAACAAAGTGTTGAGACAAGTGCTGTTAGCGAGCACCTATGAAGGCTGGCACGGTACACGATGGGGTGGGTGACCAGCACCACGCGATGTGGCGATGCTTTTTTGTTTTTACACCGCACCAGGTACTCGTTTGAGGCTCAGTTGACCTAAGGCTAGACCTAGGACCGGTTCAGATACTCGTAGTACCTATGAAGGCCGGAACACCACATGAAGTGGGGGGGAGAGTTGGTGGCCAGCGACCACGTACGACCGCTTTTGTCCCCACGACCACTTTAAATCGTGCGGGCTCGAATTGCCGGATGCCCATCAACAACCCAACGTGAATCGCTCTTCAAATGGGGAGGAAGGGGCTGTAGCAAGAGCAGCAGCAGCAGCAGCACGGTTTTTAGTCCACAGGTTTATTTTGTGTGTGCTTTGTTCGTAGCAGAATGCCACGCTGGGTGCCCCCAAGGCCTATTGATTGGCGACAGGCGCTGTTGTGGAGAACCTCTTTTTGCGTGAGACCCGAAGAGACCCCGGGCCACCCATCTCTCCCGCAACGTTGGGCAACGTCGTAACACCACGACGGTTAAATCTTGACCGCTTGTGTTGCAATCGAAACGTCGTGGGTTTTTTGCTTTTATTATTTTCAGTTTATTTGAAATGTAATGTAATTTTACTATGATAATTTTTTATTTCGGGTTTTTTTTCATTATTTTAAATTAATATTTTATTTTATTATTTTTTATCTACGTGACTTTACCAATACAGTACTATGAATTCCTGCAGTCACGAAAGTTTTAAGTCAAAATTTCACGTAGATAGGTTCTTTTCTTTGAACCTATCTACGTGACTTTACCGAAAGACCCAAATAATACCACAGCAGTTGTAAGCGACTTCAGCCCGACGAGCTCCGACCACGTGCCAACGTTGGCTCGACGTTGCCTTGGCTTTTGTTTCTCTTTCGGAGGGCAGTGAGCAACCGTGCAACAGGGCGTTACCTATGTCCTGTACGCTGAACTTCTTTCGCACCGTACGTAGCCGACCGTGGTAATTGGAGGTGCGATGCTGCCAGTGGGCTAGTGGCACCTCGCCTGGCACATTCAACTGTAGATGCAGAGCAGCGACTACAATTTCACGTTAAAGTGGTCAAGCACAGATAACGGTGTGAGGAGCAGCGGAGTAGTAGTGTATCATCATCGCTGTGATGTCTCCTTCGTATGTGTGGATCAGGAAATATTGCGTCGTTATTCGTTGTATGGCCAGTGGTGAGTCTATTAGCGGTGCTGAGTCTATGGGCAGTGCTGAGTCTAAGGGCAGTGCTGAGTCTAAGGGCAGTGCTGAGTCTATGGGCAGTGCTGAGTCTAAGGGCAGTGCTGAGTCTAAGGGCAGTGCTGAGTCTATGGGCAGTGCTGAGTCTATGGGTAGTGTTGAGTCTATGGGAAGTGTTGAGTCTATGGGCAGTGCTGAGTCTATGGGTAGTGTTGAGTCTATGGGAAGTGGTGAGTCTATGGGCAGTGTTGAGTCTATGGACTTCAGTGCTGAGTCTATGGGCAGTGTTGAGTCTATGGACTTCAGTGCTGAGTCTATGGGCGGTGCTGAGTCTATGGGCAGTGTTGAGTCTATGGGCAGTGCTGAGTCTATGGGCAGTGTTTAGTCTATTGGCAGTGCTGAGTCTATGGGTAGTGTTGAGTCTATGGACTTCAGTGCTGAGTCTATGGGCAGTGTTGAGTCTATGGACTTCAGTGCTGAGTCTATGGGCGGTGCTGAGTCTATGGGCAGTGTTGAGTCTATGGGAAGTGTTGAGTCTATGGGCGGTGTTGAGTCTATGGGAAGTGTTGAGTCTATGGGCAGTGTTGAGTCTATGGACTTCAGTGCTGAGTCTATGGGCAGTGTTGAGTCTATGGACTTCAGTGCTGAGTCTATGGGCGGTGCTGAGTCTATGGGCAGTGTTGAGTCTATGGGCAGTGTTGAGTCTATGGGCAGTGTTGAGTCTATGATGCAGTGCTGAGTCTATGGGCGGTGCTGAGTCTATGGGCGGTGCTGAGTCTATGGGCAGTGCTGAGTCTATGATGCAGTGCTGAGTCTATGATGCAGTGCTGAGTCTATGGGCAGTGCTGAGTCTATGGGCAGTGTTGAGTCTATGATACAGTGCTGAGTCTATGGGCGGTGCTGAGTCTATGGGCGGTGCTGAGTCTATGGGCAGTGCTGAGTCTATGGGCAGTGCTGAGTCTATGGGCAGTGTTGAGTCTATGGGCGGTGCTGAGTCTATGGGCGGTGCTGAGTCTATGGGCAGTGTTGAGTCTATGGGCAGTGCTGAGTCTATGGGCAGTGCTGAGTCTATGGACTTCAGTGCTGAGTCTATGGGCAGTGCTGAGTCTATGGACTTCAGTGCTGAGTCATGGGCAGTGTTGAGTCTATGGGCGGGGCGGTGCTGAGTCATGGGCGGTGCTGAGTCTATGGGCAGTGTTGAGTCTATGATGCAGTGCTGAGTCTATGGGCAGTGTTGAGTCTATGATGCAGTGCTGAGTCTATGGGCAGTGTTGAGTCTATGGGCGGTGCTGAGTCTATGGGCGGTGCTGAGTCTATGAGCAGTGCTGAGTCTATGGGCAGTGCTGCGTCTATGGGCTTCAGTGCTGAGTCTATGGTGCAGTGCCGAGTCCATGTTCTTCTTCCATGCGGCTGATGTAGATGCAGAGCAGCAACTACAATTTCACATTCAGGTGGACAAGCCCAGATAACCAGCGGAGTGCATCGTCATCATCATCGCTGTGATGTTTCCTTCATATTTGTGGATCGGGGCATTATAGCGTCGTTAAACGTTGCACTGTCACGGTCTGTTCTGGATGACCACAGTCGCACCACCACTACGACTGGAGAGTTGTTTTAGTGTTCCATTCGTGCAGCATGAGGTTACCCGCATCTACTGCCATGGTCAGGGGTCGGAAACTGCTTCGTGACGGTTATTTATTGAAGACAATCACCGTCTCGTATTCGCATTGCATGTGTTGGGCTATGGAGACCGGGCGGATTTATTTTCTCTGTGATGATTTTTTTTCTTGTTAGGCGTAATTTTTTTTCTATCTCTCATAATTTTTTTTTTATATTTAAATCCTTTATTAAATCCTTTATATTAAGTTCGCTTGCTTGCTTGCTTGCGTGCTTGCTTGCTTGCTTACGACCGTGCAAATCTTTCGGTCGTTTTTTAACCCACTTCCCGTGATCCAATCGAGCTGACATTTTGCACACAGACTCGTTGTGCGTGACAATAAATTTTCGTGAAATTTTTTTCCCAAAATTTTACACTGTTTAGGGAAAATTTTAATATTTAATTACCAATTGCTTAATGCTGGCAGACAATCATCTGACCCATAGATTGCAGCCATCTCAAGCCAGAGGACGAGAGGACTATAGCCGCCACGCATAAGGGACTGGCTTCTTGATGGGCAGCGTTGTGGGATGCAGTTTCACGAACGAAGCTCTATAAAATGAAATAATCATTATTGGTCGGCTCTTGAATTTTTTTTAAATATCCGAAAAGGAAAAAAAAAGTGACTCTTTCTTGTAATCTTTGTTTGTCGAGCCGTGGCCATCACCATCGTCCCGTACGAATGATGGAGAAGAAGAAGAAAGAGAGAAGGAGGGAGGAAGCCTATTAAATGCCAAAAAATAAAACACGAAATATTTTATTGAACGAGTTCGAGGAAGAAGGGGGAGGAGCCAGCGAGCGAGTCGGGCGCGGACCAATCAGCGGCCACGAGGAAGCGCGGCCCAACGGACGCGGCTCGGCGCACCGCGACAGCGCGCGCGGGGGTCGTGAAGAGGCGGTGTGAAGAGGTGGGGGGGTGAGGAGGGAGAGGGGGGGAGTGAGGGAGGGTGAGGGGGGAGTGAGGGAGGGTGAGGGGGGGGTGAGGGGGGTGAGGGGGGGTGAGGGGGTGAGGGGGGGTGAGGGGGGAGTGGGGGGGGTGAGGGGGGGGGAGGGGGGGTGGTGAGGGGGGGGTGAGGGGGGTGTGAGGGGGGGGTGAGGAGTGTGAGGGGGAGTGTGAGGGGGGGTGTGAGGGAGGGGTGTGAGGGGGGGGGGTGTGAGGGGGGGGGTGTGAGGGGGTTGTGAGGGGGGGGGTGTGGGGGGGGGTGTGGGGGGGGGTGTGAGGGGGGGGTGTGAGGGGGGAGTTGTGAGGGGGGGGGGCGTGAGGGGGGGGGTGAGGAGGGGGGGTGCGTGAGGGGGGGTGAGTGAGGGGGGGTGGGTGGTGAGGGGGGTGCGTGAGGGGGGGTGCGTGAGGGGGGGCGCTGAGGGGGGGCGCGTGAGGGGGGGGGCGTGAGGGGGGGGGGCGTGAGGGGGGGGGCGTGAGGGGGGGGGCGTGAGGGGGGGGTGGTGAGGGGGCGTGTGAGGGGGGGTGTGAGGGGGGGTGTGAGGGGGGGGTGTGTGAGGGGGGTGTTGATGGGGGGGGGGATCAGGGGGGGTGTGAGTGGGGGGGCGTGAGGGGGGGGGCGTGAGGAGGGGGGTGTGAGGGGGGCGGTAGAGGGGGGGCAGTGGTGAGGGGGGTGCGTGAGGGTGGGGGGCGGTTGAGGGGGGGCTGGATGGGGGGGGGCGTCAGGGTGGGGGCGTGATGGGGGTGCGTGAGGGGGGGGGCGTTGAGGGGGGAGGTGCTGTGAGAGGGGTTGGTGAGGGGGGGGCTGTGAGGGGCGTTTGAGGGGGGGGCGTGAGGGGGGTGCGTGAGGGGGGGCGTTGCGGGGATTTGCGTGAGGGTGGGTGCCGTGAGGGGGTGGTGGCGTGAGGGGGGGTGCGTGAGGGGGGGGCTGTGAGGGGGTGACGTGTGAGGGGGCGTGCGTGAGGGGGGGTGCGTGAGGGGGGGGCCGTGAGGGGGGTGCGTGAGGGGGGAGGTGGTCGCTGAGGGTGGGGGTCCGTGAAGGGGGAGGGGAGCTGTGAGGGGGGTCGGTTAGAGGGTGGGATGTGAGGGGGGAGCTGTGAGGGGAGTGCGTTGATGGGGGGGGGCCGTGAGGGGGGGGCGTGAGGGGGGGTGCGTGAGGGGGGGTGCGTGAGGGGGGGTGCGTGAGGGGGGGTGTGTGAGGGGGGGTGCGTGAGGGGGGGGGGGAGTGTGAGGGAGGGGGGGAGTGGGGGGGGGGTCTGGGAGCGGTGAGCGCACTGCACTACGAACCCGACTACCCGAGTTCGATTCCCGCCCACGACCACAGGACACCAGTGACAGCGATAAATACCTCAACCGGTCCGGGACCTCCCTCGGTCTGCTCAGCCTCAAATGAGTACTGCACCTAGTGGTGTATTGGGGAGACAAAGGCGGCCGGGAATGGTGTTGGCCACCGACCCACTCCGTGCGTCGTGACATCTTTAAATAGATCACTTTGATTGTAACGAACATCTGTACCGTATAACATCTGTTCCGTCGCCAGATGCCCATAAAAATAGAGCAGAACAGCTCATTCGGAGGCCCCTTGCTGCTGAAGTAATATAATAAATTGGCCCCAACAGTCTGTCTAAGGCTCGTTTACCTCTGATGAGCACGGCACGAAAGAAGTTCCACGTCCACACAACGGCGGCGAGGCGTGGGCTAAAGTCAGAGGCGCGGGCTCAAAGCGTGAAGTCAACGCAATGATTTTAGTAGCCCCCCTGAAACTAACATTTGTGTGCCCCTCAGACATTTCGACGCCCAGTTGCCATGGAGCCCGGTGCTCAGAGCTCGCTGCGGTACCGAGACAAGGTGGCGATCATCACAGGAGGCACCACTGGCATCGGTCAGGGTACGGTCCGCGTGTTTGGTAAGTCCGGTTCCCTCCGTGCCCATCGAGGGTGGAACACTATACAGCCCTTTGCTTCTTGGTTTTTTAAAGGATGGATTTTATTTTTTTTGCCCTAAATGCCACGGCATATCAAGCTTGCGTTAAAAATTAGTAATTTATATTTTTTTACAAAATACAGGGACTCCTCTACTTATGAACATTCGACCTACAAACTTTCAGAGATACGAACAAACCTGTCCCATATGTCCAGTTGCCCGTTCGGACCGAGAGTCGTAAGTTCAACCGCCACGCAATAGATGGCGGTGGTGGCATCTACATCTGCAGAACGGGAAGAACCAGTGGCATCCACATCTGCAGATTGTGAAGAACCAGTGGCATCTACATCTGCAGAACGGGAAGAACCAGTGGCATCCACATCTGCAGATTGTGAAGAACCAGTGCCATCTACATCTGCCGAACGTGAAGAACCAGTGGCATCTACAGAACGTGAAGAACCAGTGGCATCCACATCTGCAGATTGTGAAGAACCAGTGGCATCTACATCTGCAGAACGGGAAGAACCAGTGGCATCCACATCTGCAGATTGTGAAGAACCAGTGCCATCTACATCTGCCGAACGTGAAGAACCAGTGGCATCTACAGAACGTGAAGAACCAGTGGCATCAACATCTCCAGAATGTGAAGAACCAGTGGCATCTACATCTGCAGAACGTGAAGAACCAGTGGCATCTACATCTGCAGAACGCGAAGAACCAGTGGCATCAACATCTGCAGAACGTGAAGAACCAGTGGCATCTATATCTGCAGAACGTGAAGAACCAGTGGCATCTATATCTGCAGAACGTGAAGAACCAGTGGCATCTACATCTGCAGAACGCGAAGAACCAGTGGTATCAATATCTGCAGAACGTGAAAAACCAGTGGCATCTATATCTGCAGAACGTGAAGAACGAGTGGCATCTACATCTCCAGGAGATTATACAACTTTTAAAGCCATTCCCCGTGTTTACTGTACACGCCGTACAACGTGTTTGGAAACGACGGGAGTAAAGTTGGACTTACGAACAAATCGACTTACGAACAGACCTCTGGAACCTAACTCGTTCGTTAACAGAGGAGAGACCCTGTAGAGTTCTTCACTGGGCCCGTCCTCCCCAACGCTGCCGAGAGTTGGCAGTTGCAAAATACTCTGCGATTGCGTGGAACGAGGATCTGGGAGGCCAGCTACAGGGGAAATGAACAACAACGTGAAATCCATACTCTTTGGTTCTTTCGGTAAAGTCACGTTGGTATAAAATCAAATCAAATAAATCACGACGTTTCGATCGCAACACAAGCGGTCGTCCTCAGGCGGAAAAAATATAATCCAGCAGTTCCACTGCAGTTGCACTGCTGGATTGTACAATAATCAGAAAATGCTATTTAAATAATAATAATAATCATGAGAAAGTAATGGAGGATGTCTGGGGTATTTTGAGGTTCGGCAACGGCGCAGCATTCACAGGTCGGCTGCCTTGCACCTCTGCGTCTGTCTCACCATCGTGTCCCCAATGTTCTTCTGCCAAGCGGTTACCACGGTGAGTTCCATTTTCCGGCACGGTTTAACATCTGGTCCGGGGTGCCCCATTCGCCACCCATCACTGACCAGCGTGGTGAGGTATAGGCAAACTACCCCCCACGAATGATACCGTGTAAAGAGGCTCTGCGTGCAGCAGTAGATTGGTTAAGAGCTGTCAATTATTGCCATTTTCATCATTTTAGAATCATCTGCATCTGAACTCTACAGGATTTTGACATTTCTGCACACCCGTCAATTGCTTCTATCTCTTGTCACAACCAAACTGCAGTCGCCGCACGCACAGAAGATAACATTTTCACCGTTCTCTTTCTCGTGCATTTGTAATTCAGAGTACTGGCGTTGCACATTAACTTGTTTCCGTGACATGGATTCAAAGTTAGCCTAAAGGCAAGGTAAAACTTCAAGCGTTGACCTTTGAACATGTTTGAAAAAATAACGAATTTTCCAACAATGGTTAAACAACCACGGCTATATTACCTTTTATGTCTGCGTTGGAGCCCACATACCCTTGTCCTGATCATGTGACTGATTTTGTTTCGAATTTTCCCATTTTCACATACGTCGGGTTGCAAAGTCTACCTGGATGAGGTGTTTTCTGGTCTCAATTAATTTTGTCTGCTCTTTTAGTTGAAATATAGTTGGGCAAATGTTGAACTGTCACAATTACTCCAGAGCGTGTGGAATGGCCTTCATTACATGTAGGGCGCCACGGTCGTGAGATGTTAATGATCTCGCCGGTATACAGGAGGTCGTGGGTTCAATCCCGACCCTGACGCCTGCTGTATATTTAGAGTTTGCATGTTCTTTCCGTTGTCCCATGGATTTTTTCTCGGGTCCTCCGGTTTTTCCCTCCACATTTAGAATCGACATCACGTGTTTCAGAGTATTTGGCTGCTATCAATTTTCACATGATAAACCAATTAGTTGAGTTATCATTTGTGGCCAGGTCGCTTCTGAAAAAGAGTTATATATACTCCAAATAGCTCAGTGGGCCTTACCCTGGTAAAATAAATAATAGTAGTGGTTAAATTTCGATTTAAAGCTTTCGTGACTGCAGGGATTCATCTTTTTGGTTCTTTCGGTAAAGTCACGTAGAATGGAAATAATAAAAATAGAACATAATAAAATAATTCTCACGACGTTTCGGCCACAACGCAAGCAGCCGTCCTCAGGTGGAGACCAGGTCTGTCGGGGAGACAGCGCGTTGTAGCAATGATCGGCAACGGCGTCTCCCCGACAGACCTGGTCTTCACCTGAGGACGGCTGCTTGCGTTGTGGCCGAAACGTCGTGAGAATTATTTTATTATGTTTTATTTTTATTATTTTATTATTTCCATTCTACGTGACTTTACCGAAAGAACCAAGAAGATAAATAATAGTAGTTATGTAGACATTCTCGCATCGACAAAAACCTCTTTCACAAGTATGGCTATTTTAAAAGTATTTGAATAATAACGGTCTCATTTTGTTGTTAATTATTTTCTTTTTTCTTTTTTACAGTTTCGCAAGGTGCCAAGGTTGTATTCTGTGCAAAGGACGGTCAGTACATCATCACCATCACACTACTCCTACCACGACGGTAATATAGGGCTAATGGTTAGCACACTGGCCTTGCAATCCAGAGATCACCGATTCAATTCATGAAAACTATTTTTCTACTATAATGAGCCAAGAATGTCCGTGTGTCCCGCGCGTGACGTCACTCCATGTCGACCAGCCCCCCTCATTAATAATCATGAACAGGTTACGTCCTCCACATGGACCCCCCCCCTCATTAATAATCATGAGCGGGTGACGCCACTCCGCATGGAGAACCCCCCCTTCATTAATAATCATGAACAGGTGACGTCCACCAAATGGACACTCCCCTCCATTAATAATAACGGTTGACGTCACTCCACATGGGGGGGGGCGAGGCGCCTCCTCCCCCCTCCTCAACGTCAACTTACAACCCTCACTACACGTCACGCGATCTCCGTAACGCTATCGAGACATCAAAGTAAAAAGGAGGTCATGATGAACAAGGGATTATAACCTTCAAATGAAACAAGTCTGTGTCACCGCGGCCTTACAAATTGCACACGAATGGATGCAATGAATATCACGTGGCGGTCTGCTTTTTGCTTGCAAGTTTCAGATTTACTGCAATACACCCGTCCATGGACGGGCAAAAGGCGAGTTGAAAATAATAGCATAGACACAGTAATTTAGGCAGGCGACATATCAAGTTTGAAATCGTTTAAAACGGAAAACATTCTAGCCTCATTTGTGAAGCTATTTTGGCCCCCATGCCACTTTTTGGAGGAATCATGTGTGTATGGCGTGGTGTTGGCCACCCACCCCCTTCGCGTGCCGTGCCGGCCTTCATAGGTGCTGCTAGCTAACAGCACTTGCCCCAACAGTCTGTTCAGGCTACACTGGAGATCATTGTAAAGTGTGAGTTAAGGCATGTCGTCCCTATGCTTACAAAACATAGACCCCTTGCAAGGCTTGATATATTCTGCCCGAAAATACATCGTAGGTTTAAGCAGACTGGATTGTGTGCGAGAAGATCACAGATCATTTAAATATCTGACCACAATCCCTGTGTTGACTGGATTCATCTAGCGCAGTTGTCCAGCTCTCACATGCCCAAACAGCTTGTTTTTGTTTCGATTTTGGCCAATAGCTGCTAACAGTAGTGTCAAAATCTACCTCTATGGTAGAGGAGGCTCATGAAGGACACTACTGGGCATTTGAAGGCAGTCGCCCTCCAGCAACAACGGAGGGCAGAGGAGTGACACTCACAACGGCTGGGCTTGGTGCTTAACACGCTACCTCCCATGACCACTGTTTCATTGCTTGTATGGCTTTATTTTGGTGATTTCGAAAAGTTTTTTGGTTTGGCCATGTTTGTTTGTTGTAGTACGGAGTTAGACTGATGGCCTTAATCTAAGTTTTATTGTGGTTGTTGTTGTTTGACTTGCATCCCACTGAGATTTTTGCACACAGCGTTGGTGTAAGGTGCTTTCTCTGCAATATTTTGCTGTCTTTTCTTGGATTTTCTGTTTGCACATATTCACTTTAAGATGTTTTCTTGTTCATGTTTTTGTTTTTTATTTGTTGCGGTTGCACCCGATTCAAGAGCCGAATGGCTCACAGGGCTATACCTAATAAATGAACTTAAACTTGAACCTCCTTGCCATGCAGGCCTTAATAAATGCTTACTCACGACACTGTCACCCAACAGTCTATGCACGCAACACGAGGGATCTTTGTTTTCCAGTCCAGGTATGTGTGCGTGCGTGTGTGTATGTGTTCCAGTCGGGGCAGGCAATGATTTGGAGGCCGAACTCAACAGTATGGGCCCAGGCGAAGCCTTCTACGTGGCGTGTGACGTCACAAAAGAGGAGCAAATAAAGGTGCGTCTTAAGATGCTGCGGGTTTCACTCGTAGGCTTACCGCGTATTGCACGATGTTTTTTTGCCGCCTGTTGGTGATGCGGACTTTTGCGGCAGTGACCATTGGTCAATGTGCTACGCTGATGAGTCCGAATGATGACGAAACCAATCCACACAGCTGCGTCTATCATTTCTCCACTGTTGCTGTCGGTCGGCCAAATTTTGCTCAAATTCGTTTTGATGGTGTCCGAAGCCAAGAGGACCACAATGCACTTCTTCAGGAAATGCTGATGGATTTATGCATAATGCGGCTGTGTGCTTTGCTCACGCATGTTTGCATCTTGTTCGGAACTCGTGGCGACACACGGATTATCTTGTCAATTTGGGGATTTGTTTGGAAATTGGCTGTGCAGGAGAGAGATTTCACCAGATTAAAGGCTTGAGTGTATTTATTTCCTGGCACGCAGTGATTTACCCCTCTCCCCGGGGCTGTTTGTTATCGGTCGCACTGATTCTTTATTATCCAACATCAGGGACTGAACGACAAGATATGGATAAGTATAGTTCCCCCCTTCACACCGCTGTTTTCTTAAGAGCTGTTGTCACAGGTGTACCCTGTGCCATTTGTCTCTGTCGCTGCTGCTGCTGCAGTGACCTCACGAGTTGTCGTGACAGGCTGTGCACCTGTGCCGTCTCGTTTCTGTTTCCCGTGTACTCTGGTGCATGTTGGGTCAACAGCTGCTCATTTTAACGTACAGTCCCTTCTCCGATAACGCGGTCGTAGTTGCGATCCTGCAGAACAAAAAACATCGCGTTATAATGAATAGTATGCAATATGGGGTACAGCGCAGGCCGCGATAACGCGTGAGATGCGTACGCGGGCTGAACGAGGACTTGAGGCGCGTGGGTAGCATCTAGAAGCATCCAGCAGCATCCCAGTGCCTCGTGCGATGCTACGCCGAGGCAGCCGTACGACCGCTTATTCAAACCTCGCGCGGCGTAGCTCTGTTCACTCGATCGGGTTATATCCAATTTTTTCGTTATATCCAATTCGCGTTTCGAAAAAAACCACACGTTACAGGAGAACACACCGTACAAACACTTACCGAGCGTAATGCAAATGCGACGATGGACGACGATAGGGAACGCGTCCCGAAAGCACGTCCACTGAGGAGATGGAGCGATGAAATCGGCTCGTGCGGAGGTGCCTGGTGGATTGTTTCATCGCGAGATCGTGATGGGTGGCGTCAGCTTTCGGGAGTGGGGAGGCGGGGGGGAATCCATCCAGCAGTGGATTGATTATAGCTGACATAATGATATAATTCTCATCAGGCATGATCGTAATTATAATGCACTTATACTGGTAGGAACCTCCTGGTTCCACCAGCCCACAGGGGATTATTGTGTCCGTCCGCCGTGCATCCAAAAATGGGAGGGGTGGGGAGGGGCTGGGTGGGGAGGGAGGGGCTGGGTGGGGAGGGTGGGGAGGGGCTGGGTGGGGAGGGTGGGGAGGGGCTGGGTGGGGAGGGGCTGGGTGGGGAGGGAGGGTGGGGGGAGGGGCTGGGTGGGGAGGGTGGGGAGGGGCTGGGTGGCGAGGGTGGGGCTGGGTGGGGAGGGGCTGGTCACCCCGTGGTGCCCTTATAAAACTCAACGTTTAACCTACTCACGCCGGCTTGTGCCCGCCCTCACAGTCGGCCATATTTGCGGAATACACCACGCCGCCATTGACCCTGGCCATTGACCGAGCAACCCAACGTTCCTACTAGCTCCCTCGCAGGAATGTGTTTTCTCCAGGAAAGCCACAATGTGTTGTATTTAGGAGGGTCCTGCTACTGCTGCATTGGGGTTTTTATTTAAGATGTTTTCAGTCAATTAATAATGAGTTGTGTGGAGAAAACCCACGCCTTTGCGCGAGGGGGCAACGCTCTATCTCCCGCACGGATGGACTAAACAGATGGCGATTAGTCCACTCGCTGGACCGCCTTCTCCTGGCGAACCAATGTTTGAAACTGAAATAAACGCATGATTAATTGTGAAATCCATAAACCTCTCTGATTAGGAGCAGTTTGTTCGAGTTTATAAAATGTTGGCTGGGTCGTCATTAACCCTCCGTTCCCATGGGGGCTGTTGCTGTAAAATGACCGGCGCACACCACCAGAGGGCATGATAACCATGATCACACTGAGCGGGCTTATTGTATGAGTGTTTTACTTATATAAAAAAAATTTACCTATTGTTTTTATCATCATTTGTAGCATCTAGATGATCATTGATGCATTATCATGCAGTAAAATAGTAATTACACTTAACAATCTCCATTCTTGCATATTTTCTAATGTCCGTGCTACTTGCCTTCAACAGTCCCCACTTTGACCAGCGTGGTGAAGTATGGTCAAAATAACACCCCTCACAGCTGCATCCGGAAGTTTGACAAAGGGTTGTTTCAGGTCAACAGTTGTAACGTTTTGAATTTAAATTCTGCTCAAGGGTTAACTTGGTCCATCATCATTGGAACCTCATTTGCCAGTAACAAAATATGATAATTGGTTTTTTACCCTTTTATCTGGCAACAAAACTGACACCTTTTTTACAAGCAGTCATGTTTGCATTGACCACAATACCTGCAGTCGGAATGCAAACAAAAAAACACAACTCTGATAATGTATGCACTGTCCTTGAAATTGATTGGTCCACACCCGAGACAGCTTCCTTTAGAGCCTAGTCTCACTTGGTGTTGGACCAGATGACGCCAAAAGGCGCACAACTCAAGGACATCATGCCGATGACCTCAATAAAATAAATTCCACTGGATAGGAAGTTAACCAGTGGCTGTCCTATGAACATAATGGGCTCTGCCATAGTAACGTGGAACTTCCATTCCACCACTGGCTTCACCACCGGTTTGGGAAGCTAATGGCAAAAGCACCGGTGAGTTATCATTTAAGAGTTTGTGGGTGCCCACACTGTATGTTGAACTTCTTTCACACCGTACGCAGCCATCCACGCTAATTGTATGTGCGGGTGCTCATCTTGAACCTTCAGTAATGGTTCTAGATTTGAAGCTTTCGTGACTGCAAGGATTCATATTCTTAGGTTTTTTCGGTAAAGTCACGTAGGTAAAACATCAAAATTAATAAAAATAAAAATAAAATAAAATAAAGATCACGACGTTTCGGAGGCAACACAAGTCTCCGTCATCAGGTGGGACCGTCACAGCCAGATTAGCTGCATCAAGTGAGGCCTCACTAAGAATATTCAGTAATGGTGACGGTGGTGATGCTTACGTACGTACGCATGCATGCGTGTGTGCCTGCCTCTTTAGAACCTCATCGATGTGACGGTTCAGAAATACGGCCGCATCGACTGCCTTGTGAACAACGCTGGCGTGCGTGAGTACGGCACGGTGCACTGTCGGGATATGCAGTCACTCTTTAAACACGGTAGATGCGTTCCTGAAAAGTTCCGCTTGAAGCGAAAAAACGCGTTAAGCGAAAACTATTTCCCCCATAAATAACGATAACATTTGTCGAGATACGATGGACTATGCACACGCAGTGCGATGGCGGGACAAGTAACTGAGGCAATATACCCTTGTTGAACGTGGTGGTGAATGTAGTGGCCCCTAGTGGATGCAGCAGTCAATTATTTCCCCTACAATGTGGACCCAAAATCATCGATTCTGATACCGTAGTTCGTCGGTCAACGTTTTTAATCCGTTCCACGAAAACTACCGTTAACCCAAATAATTGCTAATCGAATTCACTCGTGAGTTGAAAAACAAGTAAAAATCACTGATGAGTTAATGAGTTAATGATGACGTCACCCTGCTGCTGCTAGATGCAATTACCAGCGAAACGTCGTACTCAAATTGTAAATGTTGTGGTTTCACGCTTCAACACACCGGTGGGCTAAAGCAGTGAACTATTTGTCTTTTGTCAACGTGACACTTTTTTACTGATTGGCCGTGTCGGGTGGTGGAGGGTTACGACACATTTATAAATAACGCGATCTAAACCTAAAAACGTTGATTATGAATAATATTGGTCGCGAAAGCCTACGTGTTAAAAAATCACTGAGTCTCCACAAGAGAGACAAGCGGCTTCCACTGCCAAAACACAACGCAATGGGAACAAAGCCAGTCGAGGTCTAAACGCTCATAAATGGGCTTCGCTGATTGGCTGAGGGCGTGGCTCAGCCCCGCTTACGAGCCCTCGGATTGGCCGAAATTGGGGTCCGCGTGCATATGACGTAAACGTACCGTTAGTCAAAATGTTAATGTTCGGCGAAACCATGGGGTCCTGTGGGAGGTGAATTGTTAACCGAAAAGCCGTTAACCGATGTTACTGTTAACCGAGGGACCACTGTACATGCGTAGTTTGATACATGTGTCGTGAGCTTAGCAATCGATATTAAACGAATCATTGCACTCATACTGAATGCAACCTAAATAAATAAGCAGATGTAATTCCACCTTGACAACTATGTCTCCGAACATAAAAACAGTAGATTTTTATACATCCCGTCGGCCACACTTCCTTCTGGGAGTGCATCTTATCTCAGCAGCATTGGTTCAATACAAGCAAACTCTGGACCGGTTTCAACATTCAATCTCTTATCAGCAGAGTCAGGCTTCATCTTCTTGGTTCTTTCGGTAAAGTCACGTAGAAGGGAAATAATAAAATAATAAAAAATAAAACATAATAAAATAATTCTCACGACGTTTCGGCCACAACGCAAGCAGCCGTCCTCAGGTGAAGAACAGGGCTGTCGGACGCTGTCTTTCTGACAGACCTGTTCTTCACCTGAGGACGGCTGCTTGCGTTGTGGCCGAAACGTCGTGAGAATTATTTTATTATTTCCCTTCTACGTGACTTTACCGAAAGAACCAAGAAGATGAATCCCTGCAGTCACGAAAGCTTCAAATCTGGAATGAATGCAGCAGGCATCATGGTCTGGATCGAACCCCCGACCTCCTGTATACTAGGCGAGGTAGTAAACATCTCTCTAGTACGGCGCCCAATATGTTTTTTATATATGTATATGTTTTCCACACTCATTGCTCACCCGATGCTACTAATAATTTAATTGCAAGTGAATAAAGCGCCCAAAGTCCAATGACCATTTACGTCACTTGCAGCGAGTTCAACACAGGAGCAGTGTTTTACACGCATAGTTTCAAAGTTGTCGAAAGCTATTGACTCGAGAAAAAAGATCCGTTCTTGATAGGTGTGGATACCTTTAAAGTGGGTAAAAATCTGAACTTTAGCAATATTTGCGCACGTGCGACATAAAGCTGCGTGATGTAAATCAATTTTTGTTCAAGGTTTACAAAAAGCGACATCCGCGTTTCAGACCCACCTCCTCAGAAGACGGACGACGTCACAGCGGAGGATTTTACTTCGCTTCTCAACTTGAACCTCGTCAGCTACTTCCTCGCTTCCAAGGTGACTGTGCAAACCTCACAGAGCCACGTTGGCTTCTGATACAACGAACGCGTACAGAGTGGGGGGGGGATGCAGTTTTTGTGAATCGTTGTAATGGAGGGTTGTTTTGCCAGGACGGAATGTACAGCGCTGAATCGCATCAGAGCGTGGCTAACGGAGAAACAAAATTAATCGATAAATGCCGACTGGGTAAAACAATTACACGGCCGTGTCAAATACAAAAGATATGTAATCACTTATTAACGCAATAACCTGATTAACATAATGACCTTCTTTTCTAAAATATCTGCGGTGTAATTATGAACAGAGATGTGTGAAAGTGTATTCATTTGAAGTGAAATCACGAGGAAGACCCGGGTAATGCATTTTTTTTTATAGTTCAAAAATAATAGTTAATTATAATAAAAATGAACTAATTATTATTATTTAATTGGACAGAACAATGCCGTTGCCGTACGTCGCAACCAAGGCGATAATACTAATTTATGAATACAAACAATATTTATCTACCCAGCAAAGCCGCACTGAGTTTCGAAGACTCTTTCCTTCTGGTGGGTCCCTGTGTTGGGAGGTTTGGCCAACAGCCACAAGCGCGCCGTGTGTTTTCGCGCAAAACTACCGTCATTCTATTCGCCGCTAAGTGGCGGTGACGTCACCACGGCGCTTGTGCCAGGCTATGTGCACGTTAAGGCTGCGTGAACACCCACGCGTGCGTGTCTTGCGCCGCCGCCGGCATTGCTATCGCGCAACGGCGCGTTTGCACATTATTAGCGCGTTGTTCAAGTGTTGTTCATGCGTTGTTCATGTATTGTTCACGCATTGTTCATGCGTTTTTCAGTGTTGTTCATGCGTTGTCCACGCGTAGTTCACGCATTGTTTACGCGTTGTTCACGCGTTGTTCACGCGTAGTTCAAGAGTTGTTCATGCGTTGTTCAAGCATTGTTCAAGCGTTGTTCGTGCGTTGTTCAAGCGTTGTTCGTGCGTTGTTCGTGCGTTGTTCGTACGTTGTTCGTGCGTTGTTCATGCGTTGTTCACGCGTTGTTCACGTGTTGTTCATGCGTTGTCCACGCGTTGTCCGCGCGTTGTTTGCTCGCTCGTGTCACGCCCGTCCGCAGTACGCGCTGCCGCACCTGCGCAAGACGGAAGGGAACATCGTCAACGTGGCGAGCCTGGTGGCCGTGATCGGGCAGAACGACGCCGTGCCGTACGTCGCAACCAAGGTGGGGGGGCTGTTGAGGTTCCGGAGTCGGAATGTTTATTTATCCTGCAGGAAGAGGAATCCGGTGATCTGTAAAGCTCTACTTCACAGACGTCCGGCAGAGGTCGCAACCGGGTACCCGATACCCGTACCCTACCCGATACCCGTACCCTACCCGATACCCGTACCCTACCCGATACCCGGCTACCCGTACCCGTACCCTACCCGAACCGGGTACCCGATACCGTACCTACCCGATACCCGTACCCCACCCGATACCCGTACCCTACCCGATACCCGTACCCTACCCGATACCCGTACCCTACCCGATACCCGTACCCTACCCGATACCCCGATACCCGTACCCTACCCGATACCCGTACCCTACCCGATACCCGTACCCTACCCGATACCCATACCCTACCGATACCCGTAACCGGGTACCCGATACCCGTACCCTACCCGATACCCGTACCCTACCCGATACCCGTACCCTACCCGATACCCGTACCCTACCCGATACCCGTACCCTACCCTACCCGATACCCGTACCCTACCCGATACCCGTACCCTACCCGATACCCGTACCCTACCCGATACCCGTACCCTACCCGATACCCGGCTACCCGTACCCGGTCGGGTACAGGTAGCCGTTTGCGACCCTGGTGCGGTCGGGTACGGGTACGGGTAGGTCGTGAGTCACTGGTGAGTAACCGTTTGTCACTCATTTCGGGTAGGGTACGGGTACGGAACGAGTACCCGTACCCGACCGGGTACGGGAACGGGTACGGGTAAGGAATCAAAACCCGTTTGCGACCCCTGACGTCCGGTAGGGGGCAGGTCAGAACGTGACCACAGCAAATGATACGACAACAACGCAATAGGAGTGCAAATTGTAGGCAAGGTAAACGAATCGCTTTAAAAATATATCTACAAATAAAAGAAAACTATGATTTTACCTTACTCGGTATAGCCCACTGAGCCATTTGCTTCTTTTTCAGAAGCGACCTGGCCACAAACGATAGCATGAACGCCGCTGCATTTCCCGACCATGAACAGCCAAAACGTCTCCCCCCGCGTTCGACTGGAATGCAAGCATGTGCTTGCAAACCCGAGGCCTACATGACATAACGTCTATAGTAAACGTTTTTTTCGGGGGGGCAGGGGGTTAGATTGCGTGAATATAAATGTGTCTTCTTGGTTCTTTCGGTAAAGTCACGTAGAAGGGAAAAAGTAAAATAATAAAAATAAAACAATACAATTATTTTATTATAAAAGTATTTTATTATAAAATTATAAAAATAAAACATAATAAAATAATTTTATAATAATATATTTTATAATGTTTTATTTTTATTATTTTATTATTTCCCTTCTACGTGACTTTACCGAAAGAACCAAGAAGATGAATCCCTGCAGTCACGAAAGCTTTAAATCGAGGCAACCAATCAGTGAGGTTTGTCACGTTAAACAAAACGTGCCGATTGGTTACTACTTGAGCACACCGGTGTGTGTTGGGGAGGAAACTCTGTTGGTATTCACAGTTCGAGTGCGACGTTCATCTGATGTGATCAAAACCTGCTTAGCTTCCCTCGAGATCTGAGATGATAACGTCTTACACCAGATCTTCCTTGTATGTATCTTGAACTTCTTTCGCACCCTACGTAGCCAACCATGCTAATCAGAGGTGAGGCTGTTTCGTCCCCACCTGAACGCGCAGTGTCACTTGCTGTTGCAACTTGAAAGTGCTGCCGATGACTGCTTTGGATGGCACGCGCCTCTGGTTAAAAGTCGCATTGTCAGACAATGCTGCCAGGTCTTCTTGGTTCTTTCGGTAAAGTCACGTAGAAGGGAAATAATAAAATAATAAAAATAAAACATCATAAAATAATTCTCACGACGTTTCGGCCACAACGCAAGCAGCCGTCCTCAGGTGGAGAACAGGTCTGTCGAGAAGACAGCGTCTGAGTGACTCTGTCTGTGTGTATTTTATTATTTCCATTCTACGTGACTTTACCGAAAGAACGAAGAAGATGAATCCCTGCAGTCACGAAAGCTTTAAATCGAAATTTAACGCTGCGAGGCTTTTCGCTGCGCCGGTGGCTGCCGTAATTGCAATTCAGTCACTCATGGACATCTCAGGTACCCTTGAATGACAGTGTTGGCATTTGTAAATTGTCATGCCGTGGCAATGTGTAAATTCCAGACGAGTCTTAACTGGCATGTCTTGGCATGCTTCTTCCTGTCCCTTGTCACCTGTGCTCATCGCAGGTGGGGCTGAATGAAGTCTCCCACCACTCGTGTCTCGCAAATTGCGTCGTTCATTCATAAACCTTTCCCGTACCCCATGTCCTAAACACAACAACAAGCTATTGGGAATGTGTGCAAAGAGCATTACAAAGCGACTCGTGTTTCAGAGTAAAACAATGTCAAGCCTCCTGGTACAAGCAGGAATTTAATTAAGTCCACTTTTACAAATAATAACGTGTTCAGTTTTAGCAAAGTACCTACATGTGGTTACTTGGCACATTGACATCCGTGGATTTTGTCTCGTGTGTCTCTTGGACACACAGAGAGTGACGTAGAAGTAAGGGAAAGGTTGCACATCGAAGCACACCTGATGATGGAGCTAGTGATGAGAAGGAAACTGGCACGAAATGTAGAATGGACAACAGTAGGAACTATGATAATTGTTTTTTTACCCTTCTATCTGGCAACAAAACTGACACCTTTTTACAAGGAGTAATGTTTGCATAGACCGCAATACCTGCAGTCATAATGCAAACAAAAAACATAACTCTGATAATGTGCACTGTCCTTGAAGTTGATTGGTCCACACCCGAGACAGCTTTCCTTAGAGCCTAGTCTCACATGGATTGAACCAGATGACGCCAAAAGGCGCACAACTCAAAGACAATGCACAATGCGTGGCATCGGTTTTATTTTATTATTCATTTCTGTTTTTCTTGAGTAAGAGTTTCATTTTTATCACATTGGTATTTTAAATTAAAAAGTGGAAAATTTAGAATTCTTTTTTTCACGAAAATAAATTGTCACGCACAACGAATCTGTGTGCAAAATGTCAGCTCGATTGGATCACGGGAAGTGGGTTTAAAAACGACCGAAAGATTTGCACGGTCGTAAGCGCGCAAGCAAGCAAGCAAGTGAACTTAATATAAAGGATTTAAAAAGGACTGTTGCTCCATATTCCAGCCTATGGTCACCTTCGATTTAAAGCTTTCGTGACTGCAGGAATTCATATTCTTGGTTCTTTCGGTAAAGTCACGTAGAAGGGAAATAATAAAATAATAAAAATTAAACAAAATTCTCACGACGTTTCGATTGCAACACAAGCAATCGTCATCAGGTGTGAAACCCACAGCAAGAAAATTTTGCTGTGGTTTTCATCCCTTGTGCCGTCAGGTCGAGCTCGACCTTGACCTCTGGTGACATCCACGATCAGACTTTGCCATCCAAACTTGTCTCTCGCTGCCACTCGTAGCTGGGTTAGTGTGTAAGGCAAGCGGTGTTATTGATGTCTTCCACCCACGTCCTCTGAGGTCGACCTATACCCCTGCCAACTTCTCCATTCCCATTATGTAATTTTTCGTTAAAAGTGGAAGTGTTGGTGCTGAATGTGGCGATTTAAAAATGTAACAAAAATGTAAGTAATGCAAGCCGCTTAATTTTTAATTAGAAAAGCACACATATTTAAAAGCACCTCGTTACTACGAGACTGAAAAATTGCCACTGTAGAACTTGTTGTACCAGAGGCTTACTTACCGGGCGCATTTATAAGCGCTTTAGCTTCACAGACACGGTGGAACAGAAGCATGTGTGGGCCCAGTAATTAATTCGCATCTTCTGAAAACATCCGCAAACTCCCCGCTTTCCCCGAACAAATCTCGATAATAATAATAATTCGGGCTTGTATTAGCGCCCTTCGTCCAGTGAGCAAGCGACGATCATGAAGTAACACAGTGAGCATAAAACAAACCTGACATTACGAACAAGATGATGAAAATGAAAGGCAAGACCCTCATGATAAAATCAGGCAAAAAGCCTTCCTGAACAGGAAGCTTCGAGACTTGAAGATTCCACAATTGAAGGAGATTTCCTGAAGTCTCAGGGGCAGAGCGTTCCATAGTCTAGGAGCTATGCAGGGCCAGAACCCGGTTCCTCCATGGAGGAAGCCCAGCCGAGCCCCTGGAGAAAAAAATAAGTCATATTTAAAACTACTTAAAAAAAACACGCTTTAATGAAATGTACCGTACGAGTAATGGCAGAACTCCACGACTCCAGGAAGTGGCCCCGAGGCTTGCCACAACGTCAGTGGCCGTTGTGATTTACAGCCAACGTCAGTTGAGCGTGGACAATTAGACCCAAGCCGAAACATAACATGTAAAAAAGATTGTTTAAAAATACGTTTTTTATTTTAATGATAGAATATGGTATTGTCATCGGTATGACATGCGTTTACCAAGTTTGCAGTCGATACGACATTGGGAAGTGGGTTAAAATTGAGTTACAAGATTTGAGGATATGACAATAGACAGAATTGAGGATACGGCAACAGAGTGAGTTTATCAAAAGCGTGTAAAAAATGTTTTAAAACATATGTTTTAGATTTTTTATGATAGAATATAGTCTCGTCATCAGTGTGACATAAGTATACCAAGTTTGCACTCGATAGCACATTGGGAAGTGGGTAAAAATTGAGTTACAATATTTTTTGAGGATACGACAACAGACAGAGTGAGTTAAATAAAAGCGTGCAAAAAAGTAGCATGAGATCCGCAGACCCCACAGAGACCTCTCGATGGAACGTTGGGGCTAAGAAATTCACGTCGGCAGGCGAAGAAATTCGCGAATGTGAATGGCTTCGGTGTCGGTATATGTAGTCAAACGAAAAGCATTAGGGACGGAATGGTAAATCGATTCATCGAATGATTACGATTTTTTTTATCGCGCAATACACGCATTGAATCATATTTACACCGTACAGTCCAATTCAATGCGTATATGAATATTAATGAAATTGCCCATGGGGAGATATGTGGGCTTGGGGAAGGGATGGGAGGAGCGGGGTAATGAGGGGGTTAATTGGGGTGGGAGAGGGGGGTTGCCAGACAATACATCTCTACACAATTTTAATTGACTAAAATTAAACTTGACTCTACCCTGCGTGTTTTTTATTTTATTTGTGTGTATATATTTCACAGATTCTTACGTGGCATGGTAAACATTGCGAGCGTTCCCCTACGCCCTCTGCCTTATCGGAAACGTGACGTGTGTGTGTGTGTGCAGGGCAGTAGTGTAGCGGTTAGCACGGCGCTGTGCTATGACCCCCGAGACCTGAGTTCGATTCTCGCTCACCGCCACCGATACCAGTGACGATTATCTGAATGGGTCCCGGGACTCCCCCAGGTGGATTCACCCTCAAATGAGCATCTGGTGCAGTGGTGTTTAAACATCGCCGCCGGGGAGACAAAGGCGGCCGGGCGTGGTGCTGGCCACCCAACCCCCTCGTGTGCCGTGCCGGTTTTCATAGGTGCTGCTCGCTGACAGCACTTGCCCAAAACAGTCTGTTAAGGCTTCACGGGGGATCTTTGTCTTTGCCTCCGTCAGGGCGCGATCACGGCCATGACCAAGGCGATGGCGGTGGACGAGAGTCGCTACAACGTGCGCGTCAACAGGTACGGCCGCACCTCCCCGCGCGCGTCACTCACACCTGGCCGGCTGGCCAGGTGTGGCCAGCCGGCCAGGTGTGGCCAGCCGGCCAGGTGTGGCCAGCCGGCCCGCCCGCCCTGTCGCTCTCCTCCTCCTCCTCCTCCCGTGAACCGTAAGGAGGGTCGGCGGGTCGGCTAAATGGACGACGACAAAAATAATCAAGTTCTGAGATGACGATGAGTGAGTAGGTAACTCCGCGTTGTTGTTGTTGTCGTTGTCATCGTTCCGTCCCTCCGGGGAAATCGGAGTGACTCCGCAACGGATGAGCGTCGGAGGTTTTGCGGAGGGCAACGGCGCTTCATGACAAAGTGTTATTTCGAGGAGGAGCGTTTGCGTGCCTGCAATAATAACCAGACACACCGCTCCTATCGCCCTCCACGTCACACAACACCTCAGCTCAGTCCCTCAGCACGGAATCCACCACAAACATGGGGGCGCCGCGGTGGTGAGATGTGAGCTCCCTTGTCTGGTATGCAGGAGGTCGTGGGTTCGATGCTGGCCCTGACTCGTGCTGCATATTTGGAGTTTGCGTGTCGTTCTCTCTCTTTCTCCCCATGGTTGCATGGATTTTTCTCCAGCTCGTCCGGGTTTTTCCCTCCACATTTAGAATCAACACGCGCTTAGAGTATTTGGCTGCTATAAAAATGTCCACACGATAAGCCACTTCGTGGGGATATCATTTGTGATAGGCAGTTCGCTTCTGAAAAAGAGCTCTACAGTTCAGTGGGCCTTACCTCGTAAAATACAAAATTGTTTATAGTTTCACAGTTTATACCAGAAAAATCTGTGTAGGCCGAGTTAAGCCTTAAGTTTCAAACAGACACACAGACACTTGCACCAAAGTCATTCGTCCTGAGTACATTATGCACAAAAACACTGAAGCCTCTCTGTTTATTTGACGGTGACTCTCAGGCGAGAGGACCGACACGCATGCAGTTCTTCAGGAACTATTGATGGGTGTCTGGCCATGCAAATGTTCATCTTTCGGCTAACAACGTGCCGCTGCTTGTACGTATGCTGAACTTCTGTCCCAACGTATGTAGCCAAACGTGCCAATGGGAGTTGCGTGGAGGTGCGCTCCGCCGCATACCTGGCCTCGGGCTGCGGTCCGTGCCAGACGGACAGACCCAGCGGAGCTCATTGACAGCCAGTGGCGGTGCAAGTTGCAGCCTGTCGTCTGCAAACTTCGCACGTGGAAGCTGATGAGAAACACGTAGGCTTTCGCGACCAATATTATTCATAATCAACGTTTTTGGGTTTAGATCGCGTTATTTATAAATGTGTCGTAACCCTCCACCACCCGACACGACCAATAAGTAAAAAAGTGTCACGTTGACAAAAGACAAATAGTTCACTGCTTTAGCCCACCGGTGTGTTGAAGCGTGAAACCACAACATTTACAATTTGAGTACGACGTTTTGCTGGTAATTGCATCCAGCATCATCGGGCAATTACCAGCAAAACGTCGTACTCAAATTGTAAATGTTGTGGTTTCACGCTTCAACATACCGGTGGGCTAAAGCAGTGAACTATTTTGTCTTTCGTCAACGTGACACTTTTTTGCTGATTGGCCGTGTCGGATGGTGGAGGGTTACGACACATTTATAAATAACGCGATCTAAACCCAAAAACGTTGATTATGAACTGATGAGAAACGTCGGCGCTCGGAGACGCAGACTGCGCGCGTTGACCCCCCGCGTTGACCCCCCATTCTCAACGGCGTTGACCCCCCCCGTTCTCAACGGCGTTGACCCCCCCCGTTCTCAACGTCGTTACCGTTGCAGCATTTCGCCAGGAAATATCTGGACCCCGATGTGGCAGGAGTTCGCCAATGGAACCGACAACCCAGAGGCGACCGTTAAAGGTGGAGAGAATGCGCAGGTGAGAGATCGCACGCGACTCGACGACAATTTGGATTCGTCCGTGAAGAAGGAGGCCCGAATTTCGCTTGCTCGTGCCACTGCTGATGGAAGAGATTCTTCTAGGAGGTGCTCTCTCTCTCTCTCGAGAGAGAGTATTTGGCCTTCTCTTCCACGCTGGCCAGACGTCTTGAACGAAGATGGAGTATCTACAATGGACACGACCACCACACGTGACTTGCCAATTGGACTAATCCTGCTGTGTACCCAGTTGTGCACGGGAATCGAATTCGGCGACCCGAGTTCGATTCCCGCTCACGGCCAACACCAGTGACGATTATATGAACCGGTTGTAGGCCTCCCCTAGGGCCACTCAGTCTCAAATGAGTACCCGGTGCGGTGTGTAAACACATCGCCACTGTGGAGACAAATGCGGCCAGGCATGGTGCTGGCCACCCACCCCCTCGTGTGTCGTTCCGGCCTTCATAGGTGCTACTCGCTAACGGCACTTGCCCCAACAGTCTGTTAAGGCTTCAAGAGGGATCGTTGTCGTTGGTGTGTGTGCGTGCCCCGTGTGTGTGTGTGTCCGTGCACGCATTTTCGATTACTCATTGGCGCCCTTCCGACAAGCAAACCAGCATCAGAGGGGGGATCTGTGATGTCTGTTTGCCCACCTGGACCCTTCTCATCTCAGCTGCTGGGACGCATGGGCACCACGGAGGAGAGTGGCAAGGTGGCGCTGTTCCTGGCGGCGGACGCCACCTTCTGCACGGGCATCGACCTACTGCTGACGGCCGGCGCCGAGCTCAACTACGCGCGCAAGAACCAACGGGAGCCCCGCTCCAGTAACTACGACTGATGGGTCTTCAATTGTGGCGCCACGGTGGCTAGGAGATGTTAACTACCTCGCCTGGTATACAGGAGGTCGCGGGTTCCACCACCATCATCACCACGGTGGCTAGGAGATGTTAACTACCTCGCCTGGTGTACAGGAGGTCGCGGGTTCCACCACCATCATCACCACGGTGGCTAGGAGATGTTAACTTCCTCGTCTGGTGTACAGGAGGTCGCGGGTTCCACCACCATCATCACCACGGTGGCTAGGATATGTTAACTTCCTCGTCTGGTGTACAGAAGGTCGCGGGTTCCACCACCATCATCACCACGGTGGCTAGGATATGTTAACTTCCTCGCCTGGTATACAGGAGGTCGTGGGTTTCGATCCCGACCCTGACGCCTGCTGAATATTTGGAGTTTTCGTGTCTTTCTCTCTCACTCTCCCCGTGGTCGCATGGATGTTTCTCCGGGTCCTCCGGTTTTTCCCTCCACATTTAGACTCGACGTCACCACGCGTTTAGAATATTTGGCTGCTGTAAATTTCCACGTGATGATTGGCCACTTCGTTGAGCAAGAACTATGTAGCTCAATGTGGCCTTAGCTGGTAAAATAAAATAGTTTAGTTTAAATTGGACTGGCCGAATGGGAACCAGGATAGCGACTCACCCTGTCGTCACCTCGGCTTGGCAAAAATTGTCACGGTTTCGGGATGATGATTTTATTCAGTAACTCGATTCTGCGCCCCGGTTCGAGCTGTCTTGATTATGTCACTGGTGTTGTTCTGTCTGATTCGTCACACGAGCAACATTTGCACGTGATTTGCATGAATCGTAAATGATTGATTCTCACTTGCTTGAGATGGTGGATGTATTGTGATCCTAATAATGCACACATTTGAACACAAAAAAAAACATTTCGTCTTAACCTAACTGTTGAACATTCTAACGCAGGTAGCGTTTTCCTGCTGAGTTGGCACGGACAATACATTCGGCGATGTTGGAGTCTGATCTTTGTGCAGTGTTGTGGTGAGTCACGAGGGAGGCATGTGTGGTGTGTGCACGTGACAATGCAGAACTTTGTAACCACGATTCACAAGGTTAAGCCACAAAGGCCTTGCACGCGCCAGTGCCATTGGCAACGTTTTCCATGTTTTGGAAAATTTACCTCGATTCTTCACTCTTAATAAAAAAAATTTACCCCGCTGCGTTTTTTGTCAAAGTATTTTCCACGAAGTAACCGGAGTGCCGAGCCGAGCGAGGGGAATTCTCCCTTTGACATAACTGGCACGGTCGTCCAAAGCAGGGGTTGGCAAACTCAAATAACACATCAACAACAACAACAACACCAACACAAACCCCCTGCTTAATATATCAAAGAGCCGCAGCAATGCACGCGTTGAATACACGACGGCGGTCCTTAATAAACATCGTGGAGAAGCAGTCCTTGGAAAGGGCCCCGTCGCTTGCGGCTTCGGAGCCGCGGGTTTTTGCCGGCTTCCCTTGGGCCAGATCCGCTCGGCTCGACAAGAGCCGTTCGGGCTGGCAGCTGAGCCCGTGAGAGCCGTTCCGCGCTGTTGTTGTGTACGGGTCAAATAACGAACGGCAGACCGAGGCACGTTTCCCGACGACGTCTACACTCGATGGCCGATGGAATTTAAATTAAGCGTGTTTTTTTGTTCCATGATGGAGAGGAGCCGGCTAATTGACTCTGCTGTTTGACATATAAATACGTGTCTTGTCGACCCAGGAAAATCAACAACGCCGAGTCCAAAGACAGGGAGGTCACGCGTTGGGGACGTTTGGTCCATCAGCAATACCACTGTTATTTTTAGCTCTGGGGTGAAAGCGGATAACACCCGCCGTCAGCACAGATTGAGAACGTACGATTGGCTCCACTTGTACTCCAGACAAGAAAGCACTGTCACGTGCAACAACAACAACGACACCCGAGAGCCAGTGTTCGTATGTCACACGTGATCGTGATGAGACGGGTAATCCTGGATAGCGCACACTGGGTCCAAATACTTTATTTTTTAGCAAGGCTCCCGCGACAACGGAATGTGTCGGCTTTTGTAGGAAGCTGGTGACCACGAAGGGAACTCAGTCCAGACGATGGGGGCGGCACTGGGGTCGTTGGAGAACATCGAAACTCCACGCAGAAAAGTGCCCGAGTCGGAATTGCAACTCGGACGCTTCTAACCGCGAGGCACGAGTGTTGCCACTGTAATGCGTGTCTTCTTGACTGAATACTGGTGGTTTAATTCAATAAAAAAAGTATTTTATTTTACCAGGTAAGGCGGGCTGAGCTATGTAGCTCTTTTTTTTAGAAGCGACCTGGCCATCGAAAATGATAGCCCAACGAAGTGGGCTATCATCACGTGGGAATGTATAGCAGCCAAATACTCTGAAACGCACGTTGATTCTAAATGTGGAGGGAAACGCCGGAGGACCCGGAGAAAAATCCACTCGACCACGGGGAGAGACACGCAAACTCCAAATATACAGCAGCAGGCGTTAGGGTCGGGATCGAACCCACTACCTCCTGTATAGCAGGCGAGGTAGTTAACATCTAGCCACCGTGATGATGAGAGAGAGACGCAAACTCTAAATATACAGCAGCAGGCGTTAGGGTCGGGATCGAACCCACTACCTCCTGTATAGCAGGCGAGGTAGTTAACATCTAGCCACCGTGATGATGAGAGAGAGACGCAAACTCTAAATATACAGCAGCAGGCGTCAGGGTCGGGATCGAACCCACAACCTCCTGTACAGCAGGCGAGGTAGTTAACATCTCCTAGCCACCGTGATGATGAGAGAGAGACGCAAACTCCAAATATACAGCAGCAGGCGTCAGGGTCGGGATCGAACCCACAACCTCCTGTATACCAGGCGAGGTAGTTAACATCTCCTAGCCACCGTCATGATGAGAAAGAGAGAGACGGAAACACAACAGTCTCATTCTTTTTCCTCCTCCGTCTGGCTGCTGATGTAGATGCGGAGCAACGAACTACAATGTCACATTTAGGTGGTGGTCAAGCACGGTAGCAGCGGAGTAGTAGTGCATCATCATCGTCGTCGTCGTCATCGCTGTGATGTCTCCTTTGTGGATGGGGACATTATTGCGTCGATACACGTTGCACTGCCACGGTCTGTCCCAAGGGTGGCACAGTCGGGTTTTTTACAATCGGGTTTAATTGTCTTTATATTAACCCGATCATCTGAGATTGGGAGAAATCCGGTTTAATTGGTTCTAATTGCAGAACCGCACTTATCAACGATGGGCTTCATCCATTCCAAGCTCAGGAACTCACTGGCGGTGCCCACGATTGTGGAGGAGAAGCTCGTGTTCATCACGACCAACCTGCCCACCCGCATTCTACGACTACCCCGTGCCCGACGCCCCCCCCCCCCCGAGTACGATAGCAGCACCGACGAGGAAGCAGCCTAAGCCTTGGGTCAGAGTTTCGTATTCATTAACGCAGGTTTAAATTCCACGAAATCGGGTTAAATTGTATTAAATAAAACACCCGATGCCTGCCGCTGGAAACATCGGGTTTTTAAAATCCTTTATATTAAGTTCGCATGCTTGCTTGCTTGCGTGCTTGCTTGCTTGCGTGCTTGCTTGCTTGCTTACGACCGTGCAAATCTTTCGGTCGTTTTTTAACCCACTTCCCGTGATCCAATCGAGCTGACATTTTCCACACAGACTCGTTGTGCCAGACAATGTTCGTGAAAAAAATTTCCAAAATGTTACACTTTTTAGGCAAATTTTTTTTATTTTACATATATTCAAATAGAACTCATTCATCGCTTTGGCTGAACGTCAGAGTGTAAGAGCCCAGAGCGTAACGCCTCCACAGGCCGTGGCGGAGTAGCGCAGTTGGTAGCGCCCTCGCTTCCCATGCCAAAGGTCGCGGGATCGATCCCCGTGTTCTCCACAGGCGAATATATTTTAAATCCTTTATATTAAGTTCGCTGCCACGCATATAAAGGATTTATAGTAAAAACTTTGTTGTTACGGGTTTACTTGTTCCACCCATGGTCTGTCCTGGATGACCACAGTCGCGCACATTGGATGACCGCGTCGATGACGAATGCCCTGAACGCGGCGAGCGAACCTCGATCCATCGATCTTTCGGTCTCCAGAGCAACAGCACAACGCAAATCTAATAATATACTGCAATGTTTTCTAACCCCCCCCACCCCCCGGTTGGAATGCCTTCTCACAACACCAAAGGGGCCGTCCATAAATGACGTCACGCGATTTTGAACGATTTTGGACCCCCCCCCCCTCGTTACACGGCGTCACAAAAAGTCAGACACCCCCCCCCTCAAATATGACGTCACAAAGCTCTGCCCCCCCCCCCCCAAAATTAAAACATGCTTTAAATCACTTTAAACTATTGTCATCGTAGTGCGTATTTAATGTGCCGCTGCACTCTGATGTTGTAAGAGAAAACATTCATCAAAAAGTCTATTTAATTAAGAAGAACGTGTTGTCTATATTTATTTAAAGTTGCGCATTTTGATGTGACGTCACATTTCTCAACCCCCCCCCCCCCCCCTCGTTGCCCATCGTCACAAATGTATGACCCCCTCCCCCCCTAGGTGCGTGATGTCATTTATGGACGGCCCCAAAGGCCACAAGATTCCCTCCCCCCTGTAGCATCAACAGACTCTTGTGGCAAGTGCTGTTAGCGAGCAGCACCTATGGAGGCCAACACGGCACCCGAGGGGGCTAGGTGGCCACCACCACGCCCGGGCCACCTTCATCACCCCAGTGCTGATGTTTACACACCACACTAAGGTACGGTAACTCATCTCAGGCTGAGCCGATCTAGGGGATGCCCAGGACCTGTTCAGATATTCGTCACCGATGTCGGAATCGAGCTCGTGAGCGCAGTGCGCTGACCGACCCCACCACGCTCTCACGTACCCGGGAACACACTCCAACACCCCCCCCCGTCCCACCAATCGATTCTTGCACACGTGATGTGATCCGTGCGTCGTAATCATCAATATTGGCTGAGTGCCGCGGGCGTTTAGCGCGCTGCTCTCTAAACCCCGGTGACCCGAGTTTGATTTTCCGTCCGCGGCTGGCATCAGTGGCTAGCGAAACATTTGCAATCTTTGTCGAACTTCTTTCGCACCCTACGTGGCCAACAACCGTGCCAATCGGAGGTGGTACTGCACCACCACGCAGCCCGAAATGTCACCAAGTACTTTCTTTGTTGGTAAAAAAAATAACAAAAACACTCGAGCCATCACAACAAGATGGGCAGGATTTCGATTTAAAGCTTTCGTGACTGCAGGGATTAATCTTCTTGGTTCTTTCGGTAAAGTCACGTAGAAGGGAAGTAATAAAATAATAAAAATAAAACATAATAAAATAATTATCACGACGTTTCGGCCACAACGCAAGCAGCCGTCTTGTGTTGTAGCCGAAACGTCGTGAGAATTATTTTATTATGTTTTATTTTTATTATTTTTATTATTCTATTACTTCCCTTCTACGTGACTTTACCGACAGAACCAAGAAGAAGGATGGGCAGGCTTTCATCCAGCAGTGGAGTGAGATGGCTATCCCGTCTGTAACGTGGAGGAGGGAAGGGGGGGTCACAATAACTCTTGTAAAGATAATCTGATGAAAATTAGATATTAATTCATATTCCTGTTGCTTTGTGGAGGGGGGGGGGGGTGAACCTGGCCGTATGCATCAAAGGGGTTGCCCAAAGCTTGCAGATAACAAACCCCCCGCGGACTTTATACAAACGTAGCGGCATCCACGGAGACACACGCTAGAACTTTGAGGCGCACGTTTATTACAACACCCCGACAGGGTAACTACATAAACGTACGGGATAACGACATCGGTGGTAGCTGACTTCCACTAGCGACTAAACCACGACGGGCAACTACATAACCGGGTCAGGTCAGTAACGTGCTGCCTGACCCGCGATGCCGAACGTGATGACCGAAGATCGAGGAGACTTAGCACGGCGGGTTGATTCCAGAAGACAGCCCGGATCGGGGCTCGGGACCTCCCTTTTATGCCCCTGAGCGTGGCCTGGCCCCGCCCTAGGTCACGCCGCCTTCTAGATTCTGAAGACGGAAGCTTGTGTTGCCTCCGAAACGTCGTGATTTTTGATTTAACTTTTTTTATTTTTTACCTACGTGACTTTACCGAAAAACCCTAAGAGTATGAATCCTTGCAGTCACGAAAG